TATAACACATTTTCAGCCACTAGAACACAAAATAATTACAAAAATATTTTTCTTGATTTAAAACATTGTAATGCCAGAGTAAGGCATATATAAAAAGTACAAACTGTATGTATCCTCTTCATATCCAAACCATCTAAGCAGACGCTTTACTTGATCTCAGGTGCCATGATATCACAGCAACATAGCTCTTTAGATAACCTAGACTGAATTCAATTAAAACTTGATACACTACAGTTATTCATCACATCCAATTGCATTTTAAAGTGAATTAGGAGCCAGTGTAGATCAGAGACAATCAGTATGACGTGCTCTCTCTGCAAGGAACAAACTGAAAACCAGCCATCTTCTGCATCTCCGAGAAATCTGAATGCTTACTACATTTTAGATCATGCTAAGAAGAACAGAACTAGAATACAGAGAACAAATGTGGTTTCCTCATGAAAACCTTGCTTTTGATACACAGGATATACAGACAAGACAGGAGACCCTATAGCATTTTACATGTAACTCCTGGGGGAGTGGGGCAAAAACTATCAGCACAACCTACGATGCATTCAGTTGTAACCTTATTCCAGCGGCCCATACGAGCTAACACCATCACCTGCACACATAAAATTCTTGGGGGAGTAGGGTTTATGCTTTCTTTCTTCTCCCCATGAACGATATACTTCTTCAAAGTCTACTATAAATCTAACAGCCACAGCTATGTAGTTGTATAGCAATATATCTTATTTATTAAAACACAAGTTTTTGTTTTTACATCCCATCACCTACCAAGAATGTGTCCTTATTCCCTTGAAACACAAAGGGAAACACAAAAGGGGAAAGAAAGGAGGAATAGGGAGTGTGGGGAAGTTTATACGTGAGAGCATGTGTGCTATGTGAGGACAGCAAGTGATTGGATGCAGTGCTATACGAGGAGAGCAAGTGGCTGCACCATGTGATGGCCATATGAGGACAGCAAACATACTGCAATATTCATTAATTTTTTATCATAGGGCTTCATAAAGGTGGCAGGGGGAAGGCTTTCCACCAACTTTAAAAAATTATACAGAAGCTGTGCAGTATTTCAGTCAGTTAGCATAAGTTTATTTTATGGCCTACAAAATTTAGATGTAGTAGAAAAAAGCTCTCAAGTCAAAAAATTAATCTGCCAAGACGACCCTAATTAGTTCTTTCCTGCATATCTCTGTGCCAATTCAGTTGATTTACTGGAGCAAGAAGAAGACAGAATTTTTCAAGAGCTGCAAACCCTGAACATTCAAAGACATCAAAAAAAAAAAAAACACACTACAGAACTATTTCATCTATTTCTGTACTCTCTTCACCTTGGAGATACAACCACATGACACAAGGCTCATATGTGGGCAATGGATAAATGCCTGTAAAGAAACTTAATGAGAAATAGGAAGGAACGGCACTTTTCCTGCTTCAGTAAAATGTGAGCTCTCTCTGACAAATGAGAAGACACACAAGAGCACATTTAATTTACATATAAACATGGATACACTCATACACAGTCCCTGGTGTTTTAGATATAGCATGAGAGTTATTTGAGATGAAAATGCTACATTAGGGGCCTATACCAGAGTTCCAGCAGGCAGAGACCTTGCCTCACACCAGCACAATAGCACATGCATCTTGAGTATTCCACGGTCACTCATTTAAAAGGGATATCAGACACAAGACTTCGCTCTTTTGGCCGGTTTAATTACCCTGACAGGATGCCAGGCCAGACTAGATGGTGCTTCCAGGTTCAGCGTACTGTATGCATTTCTGATAAATGGGAAAAGAATAGATGACCCGGCAGAAGGCTCAGACAATAACATGTGATTTACAGGACATGAATGCAGCTACTATAAGATTTATCTGACAGCCCTCTCCGATAGTGGACTGTTGAGTATCCGATGGAATGATTTCTAGTCTGGAAAGTCTGCTACTGAGTAGCCATACACATTATTTATTTATTAGATGTTTTGGGTTGAAACCATTTTTAAATGATGCACTTCACAATGCTCAGCCATAAATTTAGTTTTAAGCCCTGCTGGGGAGGTAGTGTTATTGGAATGTGTGTCAGACTGAATTAGGATGAGCAACACAACGCTTTTATAAAGTGGCCTTGAATGCAACGTCGATTCTTTCAAAAAATGATATTAATGTCAAATAAGCAGGAACACTTTGCAGTAATATTAAATGAAGGATTTTTTTTATGTTTTGATAGATTTATATAAACATAAGTATACACACAGACACACACGTCTCAATATGTAGCATGTCTACCCAAACCCATCAGTTTTTGGCTTAGAAAAAGCCTTTTGTATTGTTTCCTACTTGTTTCTCTTTTTACCTTGTGTAAAACATTAAACACTATCAAAATGTCAATACAGAACTAAAACACAATAGCAATTTTCCATGTGCCCGAATTAGTTTAAAAGGAAAAAAAAAAAGATATTAACCAAGATATTACTGTTTCATAGGAAGATATTTAACTATTCTTAACCAGAAAAATAGTCTTATTTTCATATTTTTGAGAAAAAAATTATTAGCAAGATGCTGCTACCGCATTTTGTGCTTCTGAGGAAGAATTAAAAATAAATAAATATTTTTTAGAGAAAAGATTTAAGTACTTAGAACACCATACGATATTTAAAACAAATTTTCTGAAAGAAGTTAGCATGAAAAGCACTACAGGTATTAATCAGAGCCGTCTAAATTTTGTAAAATGATGGCTGATAAATTTGTGAAGTTTCAAATTAAATTTGCAGATACTTACTTTATAACTATGCCACATTATTTATGTGATTAAAAACTAGTTTTTGACCTGATCTTTTGATCTTTGACACTTCATCCTCTCCATCTCCTCTTAAAAATTAATTAAAATTTTAGCAAAAGGATATCACTTCACTTCCTACCCCATCCTGTTCAAAAAAAAAAAAAAAAAAAAAAACACAAAAAACTACCACAAAAAAAAAAAATCCATCAAGCTCAGTCCCATCTCCTCCCAGTATCTGTAAAATGTTGGCTTGAAATTCAATTTCATCTCTCTCAAGCTTTCATGTAGCAAAAGACAGTTCACTTCTTAACAAAATAAATCACTTCTGTGATTGCCATGCTGACCTCTTTGAATTAGGAAAATTCCAAGTGAAAAATGTAATTATCACCCTAGAACAATCTGTATACATCTGGAGCTAATTTTAGATTCATTTCTCACATTATTTTTCATATTCTGCCAAAAGTACAGCTGCTGTGTAACTTTAAAAAGATTTTGTGGTCTTCATAACTTTGTTTTATTTCTACTATTTTACAAAGAACAACCTCAATTTTTGCAATGAGCACTGCTAAGCGATCACTATTTGATTAGATTAGCATTAAGTGGCACTATGACACATATGACAAATAGATGCATTAGAGCATGTCATTTATTCCTTATCCTTTCCACTTCCCACAACCAAAAAAGTGACGTACAGTACAGAGCATAACATGATCTTAAAGGAGATTAGATTATCCTACTAAAGATGAAGACCAATGACTAATTATTGAAACAGGCAGCCAACATGCAGAAAACTACATATAACAAATACATACCACCAAGATGTCAGACACATAGTTAGCAATTAAATTTGTGTTACTCTAACACATGAACAGAATATTAAAATGGATTTCTTAGTAGCAAAATTTTTTTTAAAGTTTAAATCTGTGTTTTAAGTTTAAATCTATCAATTCGTATTCTAGATATCATGAACAACATCCACTTACAGACTCAGAATATGCAGAATAACCCACTGTAAACTGAAAAAGTTCCCTAGGAAATATTACGTTCCTGTCAGGGTGAATATATGATATTTTCTGAAGATGGAGAACTTGATAAGTTCTGAATACATTCAAGAATAATAAGCTCACTGGAAAACATAACTACTCGTCACTAGTTCATTGTAAAATCCATTAGGTGTAATCTCCAGAAGTAATTGTTCTTATTGCACTTTATTGACAATGTACGCTATCGATTTTTCACACCTTCTATGATGCTTTCATTTGTATTCATGAAACGTCTATCAGCACAGTCTAAATAAATTTGGCAATATAGGCACTAAAATGAATAAATCGATGTGAAGAAACATTAATTTTGCATTATCCTTATTTGTCAGGCAAGCAAACCATAAGGGCTGTAAATGAAGGTCAAAGGTTTTGAAATGGGTCAGAACCCTTGACCTCTAGACCAATACCATTCCCATTAAAAAAGGCTATTTTAAAGTTTTAAGTAGGGGAATTTACTACCAGAAAAGTATCATTTTTAAGGCACCAAGAGCAAGGCTCAATAAAAATGTTCTTCTATTTAACTATACACAAGAAAGTAAGAAAAACACAAAGCTTGAAACAGTGAATGCAATTCTTTCATTACAATTTTAAGTTAGTTCCTTGAGTTCTGGCTTTTCTCTAACCACGGGAATGGGCAGTTCTTAAGGTTTTAGATATTTAAAAATCGCTCTGCATTTAGGAATGTAGAAAGCTCCAAACTGCTAACAATCAGCGTTGCTTTCTTGTTCTTTTCTCAGATTCTTAGTGCTTGTCAAATCAATTAAGTATGACAGGATTTCAAAAGTATTTATCACTCATTTCTTAACCTCTACAAAAAGGAAAAATCCCACTTATCCCAGAGGAGTCAGCATGTCAAGGTGCGGAAATCAATCTGTTTCCATAACCTTAATATTTTGTTGATCGTATTTTCTCTTACAAAAATGACAGCATAGAATTACTTAAGCACACCAAGATCAAGGTTATGTAAATGCTCGACAGCAAGGTAACATAAAACCCTTGGTATCTTTTCTCTTTTACTGAGTAGCTGCAATTACTATGCAAAGATATTTTTTAAAAAATAATCAAAAATCTTTGCATATAATTTCATTACATACAATCTCATTACAATCTCATGTATTTTAGCTATAACTTCTATTTTGCCCAATGACAACAATCTCAGAGAATGTTGATTGCTTAAACCTCACCTGAGAGCAAAGCAGCATCACCAACTCCACAACAGAACTACTGGATTTCATGCACACAAGACCTAGAAAGGAAAAAAGTATTATACTTAAGTGTATACTTACATGTTAACAATTTTTAACACAAGATATTTTAAAGTGCAATAGATTTTGTCTGCAGCAACTTAAGAATCAAGGAAAGATCAATTTTGTACTTTATCAGTACAAATTAAAAGCACGCAAGGAGATCATAAATTCCAAACCTTGCATCTAAAGATGCAGCTAGGAATAAAACATTACCTCTGTTATCCACAGTTTCATAAATGTTTGTGTTTCAAAATGATGAAAAGTGTGGTTAACATATGTTATATTAATCCACTGTATCTACATTTTGTTATTTCTTGAAGGATTGGGTCATTACATATGCAGAGAAGGGAAATGGCTTTATGACCTTTGCTTTCTCCACTGCGCGTACTCCTTTCAGCCCCCAGCTATCAATCAAGTTTCCATTTTGTTTCATGGCAGCAGACATCCCAAACACTCTTATTAGTACTTTGACCCTTAACCCTGCACTAAACCTTAGCAGAAGTGCAAGCAGTAACCCATTATACATTCTCAATTGTTTACAAACTAATTTGACTACTATTATTACTTGTAATTTGCATTTTGTTTTGGATTTGTGTATAAAATACCTGATCGCTTTGTTAGGCCCAAAAATTAGTTCGAGGCATTTATTTTTGTCTGAACAGTCCAAATACAGTAAAATTATTGACAGTATTTCATCATCCAATCTATGAAATATTAATCTCTGTACATAATCTATATCATACTCAACATACTTTGAAAGCAGATTACTATGGTTATGTTTAGACAAGAAAATACAACTAAACAGAATACTTCCCTGACAAATATTTTTTTCAGAAAAAAATCTTTTCTCTTATTAAAAAAAAACGGAACAAATTTGCTCAAAAGGTAGCTTCCATTAAAATGTTTATCAACTAAAGTGATGCCCAACAATATATAATCAAAAGCAGAACGTCATCCTTTTCAATCTTATAGAAGACATGAATCACGTCATTTCTTTGTTTTCCTTTACAGCACCAAGAGAAGCAAGCAAGATAAATTCCTTTAATAAACAATTTTAACTCAATGGAGTAAAGTGAAGTATTACTTTTTGTATCAACAGTCATCAGTATGATGACTGTGTGACAGTGTTGACCATATATATTCAGCACTACATACAAGGTGGTACTTCTAATCTAAGGAACAGGTGGTTTCAAAAAAAATCTTTAAAAAATATTCATGAAGCAACTGTATCTACAAGCACAAATATTGTTCATGTGCCAATGACCACCTCAAGTCAAGCAAACATGAGCTTCACACATAGGGGTACTGAAAGCTGCAGCATGGTCAGGGCCTAATTCAACTGACTTGTAGCTAGATAAAATCTTAAACATTCACTCCAAAATAAAAAGATAGTGTATAAAGTGGTTTATATGATAATTGAAGTTAAGAAAAATGCAAAAAAAAATGGCATTTATTACTAAATTCACACTATTCCAACACACACAACTTTGACAACTACAGTCACTAGTGACTGCATCACATACCTAAACCTTTTGTCCATTTAAAGGCAAACCCATCAACTGAAAGAAAACAACTACAGCTCAATAATCTTTAGCCAGCACCAGGAAGAGCATGATTGTTATTGTGCACTTGAATCTTCAGCTCAGAAGTACCACAGCACACAGTTTGACAGCTTTGAGAAGAATTTCTCTTACCTGTCTTACTGCACTCCAAATGGAAACCAGCAAGACAGGAGCAGGTTCACATGCTCCTGCTAACATACTTCCCAAGGAACTCACTGTCAAAATACAGTCTGTGTACTTACTTCACTTTGACCATGAGGCAGCAGTGTGCTCTCGTGGCCAAGAAGGCCAATGGGATCCTGGGGTGCATTAAGAAGAGCGTCTCCAGCAGGTCGAGGGAGGTGATCCTGCCCCTCTACTCAGCCCTGGTGAGGCCGCATCTGGAGTATTGTGTCCAGTTCTGGGCCCCACAGTACAAGAGGGATGTGGAGCTGCTGGAGAGTCCAGCGTGGGGCCACAAGGATGATCAGGGGCCTGGAACATCTGCCCTATGAGGAGAGGCTGAGGGAGCTGGGCCTGTTCAGCCTGGAGAAGAGAACGCTGAGAGGGGATCTAATCAGTGTATATAAATACCTCAAGGGAGGGAGTGCAGAGCACGGTGATGGTCTCTTTTCAGTGGTGGCCACTGATAGGACTAGAGGAAATGGCCGGAAACTGAAACACCAAAAATTCCACAGGAACTTAAGGAAAAATTTCTTAACAGTGATGGTGACAGAGCCCTGGAACAGGCTGCCCAGAGAGATTGTAGAGTCTCCTTCTCTGGAGATCTTCAAAACCCGCTTGGATGCAGTCCTGTGCCACATGCTCTAGGTGACCCTGCGTATGCAGGAGGGTTGGACTAGATGATCTCTAGAGGTCCCTTCCAACCCTAAGCATTCTATGATTCTATACATAACTTTATGTCAAGGGTTGAGCCTGTCACTTAGGAAATATTGTAAAAGTTTTAAGGCTCCCACAGCACATTTCATATATTACCTTCTATGAGATAGTTCCCTGGAGGAGTTGAAAAAGTAAGAAAGAGGCAACCCAGTTGCCAGGAGTTGGCTCCATCTAATGAGATGGTGGAAACTATCAGAAGAGATAGAAGCAAAGAGGTAGCACAAGCAGGGAAAAGAATGGCAGAGAGGAGCAAGCAATGGCAATGATCTCTGGCAGACAAGTAAGGCACAAGGAACCAGAGACAGTGAAATCCAACAAACAGTACTGAGAGAAGGAAGCAGGAAGAAACTCTCTACATTGAAGTCCACATTAAAAATAGACATCGAATCTCCGAGGTAAAACAAAAAATATATGTTTTTCTGGTTGGATACTTACTTGTGCCTTCTATCAGCAACTCCTGACCATGGCTGCCCAAAAGAGTTCGAGAAAGAAAGGGAGCAAAATCCACAAAAATCTCTCTCAAAAGTGGGGCGGCTTTTTCCAAAGCATGTTCAAGTCTATCTGTAATACTAATAAAAATAGATATGATTAACAAGATTAGAAAGCAGTTCCTGAAATTCTGTAGAAGAAATAGTTTTTGACAATGCTTTGTGAGGTGCACAGAATCAATCCCCTAAATGTTATTTTCCCAGATTTTGTGGAGGGATGAAAACCCAGCAACACAGAAATCAGCATACACCACTCCATTAGGTATTGATCATAAACAATGATTATAACATAGATCATAGTATTTCACTATAATGTAGATTGTTATATAACAACATCAATCATTTAAAAAAAAAAGAACCATCAGCATCACAGCTGTCCAGGTGTTCAACTGAAAGTTACCTCATATTTGAGGCAGAATCCTCAGGTACTGAAGAAACTGCAGGAACTGCAGGCAATTTCGAATTAGATGATCCTCTCCCTACAGGAAAAAGTAATAAACAAACTCATCATATCAGAAAACATGCCAGAGGATGGACAACTGGACCAGAAACTAAAACCTCAAGCTCAATTTCTAGGAAGTTGTCATCAACTGAGAGAGAGATTAGGCAAACCCTACACTTCCCCCTGCCCCTCAATAAAACTCCTACCTATTTACCTTCATATTTACCAGATGTGCCACAAAAATATTTTTAAATTTTGTTCTAACACAACTCTAAGTAATTCAGGGAAGCTTGCAAGGTGTATTGTGGGCGAAGTCATGCTGAAGTGATATCTTCTGCCCTTATCAGCTATAATTCTTTTCTAGCAAATTTAACAGTTACAATCTTAGACACACACACATGCCATATTGAAACATAATCTTTCTTTCTTGATATTCTTGTACTTTAAAACTGATGTAAAATCAAGGGAACACATTTTAAAATATCCTTTCTTGTTATTAGAAGTACTCATCATATTTTAAGTAGCTTACGCAGAAACCCCTTAATTCTCTCTCTAAAATTAAAATGGATTTCTACCAAAATTATGCAGCATGCATAACCAGTGAGGATCTTTCAACATCCTGGTTTACATTTTTGCCACGCAGGGACTCTAACAGAGACAGCTATGATCATATTCTCCTTTGCACTGTCAGCACCATTACCGTGATGGCAGTGGTGTATAACCTCACTTACGAGTTATTAACTTGGCCACATCAATTATTCAAAGGTTGATAGGGAAGACTGGGTCCCAGGCTTACAAAAACACAGAAAAATAGTGTTATGTCAAATTGACACTACATTAGTCTCATCAGCAGGCTGGGAATCTGTAAATATGTAAATACTAAACTCTGCTATTCCATATATAAAGGGAAATACAACCTCCTACTGCAGTATGGGTAGTATTAGCAATGACAAGGAGGCAACAGGCAAGACAGCCGGAGATTTCACAGATAGTTGCTGCCAGGATAGGAATGGTGAAACTCACAAATCTTATATTGCATTCCAAACTACAGAAGGGAATGAATCTTAGGAGACAGATTGCTGTGTATTTCCCAAGAGCATGATTGCTTCTGGGCCATCTGCAATCCTATCTCTTCCCAGGCCAAGGCCTTGTCCTACTCTCTTTCCTCTCACCTCACCAGTTTGAAATTCCCATGTTGCTGGAGAAAGAATGAGGAGAAAAAAAAAAAAAAAGGTAATTAAAAGAAAAGGCATTAAAGAAAAGGATTTAATCACCACAGTTCTCATGCCTGCTTCCCCAGAAATACAGCTATAGAAAAAAATTCCTCATCATCCCATCATTTGGAGCAAGTTCACTGTAATACAACCTTTAGGAAAATAAGCCACAAAGATCTTGAAATTGCCCACCAAAATGTGCCAACTGCAACTTCTCAAAGACTTTCTACTTGACTGAGTAGATAGATTTGTAAAAAGATATCAAAGGATGGATGCCTGACACTACAGCTATTCTTCCTGTCACATTTTAAACTCCTCCAAAACACAGTATTTCCCCAAAGAACATATTTTTTGCAAAAGTTTTTTTTTTCCCTCAAATTTCGTTTCAAATTCAGAGGAGCCACTTTTCTGAAATTAATGATTCAAACCACTGCAGCCAGAACAGCAAGAGGTTTGGCCTTTCTTCTCTTTTCCCATTGGAAAAACATGATTTTGTACATATAATTCATTTATGTCTTCCGTAAAGCTTTACTATGAAGCTCTTATTTTGACTTTTGCATAGGATAACAAAAAAAAAATTAAGGTCAAAGCTTTCAAATTAAAGAAAACCCTCTGAACATGCAGAATGTCTTACTATATAAATGCATGTATGCTGCTTCTTATATTTAAAATCTGTGACAGGCAACCCAGTAGTTATTAGGTATGTTAAAAAGTCAACAAAAATACACACAACCTGAAATCCCATCATATCAAATGTATAGTAGAATCAAGAATCATTTTCAATAGTGCAGCACAGTGGCATGCATTTCAAGATTAAATGAGATGAAAATAATTCAATGCATTTTAAGTCACAAGTAAAATATTTGAAGGAAAAATTAAGAAAAAATGAGGGGAAACATCTGTAAGGATAATAAAGGGCATAATGCCCAATGTGAGGCTAATAAAAGCACATGTTCTTAGTCCTGGTTAAACTCCACTGTTTTTTTTTGTTGTTGTTTTTTTTGTTGTTGTTGTTGTTGTTTTTTTTTAGAATGAGGTGAGAAGGAAAGGACATCACTGACAACACAGATAATGATATGACTTCTAGAAATTAGGATTGTGTATAAATCGTGCATAAGTTGTTTTTAGACATAGCATAGAAATGCTGAAGCTTTTTAGTTAAATCAACTTTTCAATATAGAAATAGTAGAAAAGCCACTGTTTGAGTTTGACAATAGCATAGGACATGTACCTCTATAAACTGATATTCTATTTGCAGATTATATAAGGGTACTTATGACACAAATTGCTTTATGCTTATCATTAAAGTCTACATTCCAAACTCATATATTTTACCAAAAACGATGAAACTCAGATTTACCATGGCTTGGTATTATACCATTTTTTAGAGGATATTAATGTGCATAGTGATGTTTTGTGAAAACATTTTTTTGAATTTAACTCAAAAGCATTTTGCTTTTGTTTTTTGGTTATTTCTTCATTTAGTATAAAAAATAGAAATACTTCAGTAGCGTATTTTCATCCACAACTCACATGTGGGTAAGTGCAGTAGCTACTTCAAACATGTGGAACTAAACTGACTTATCTCTTCCTTATCCTTTCACTGATAAACTGGCTCCTTCAAACTGACAGTTTTACAGACATTTGCAAGAACATAAAAGAAAATGCAAATAGATCATCTGTCTAGCACCCTTCTAGTGAAAGCTTATTGTTTATTCAAGGTCCCCAAGGGTCTAAACAAATAATGTCTCTAGCAATAAAATATTATTAAAGAAACTCTTTCTTCAAGTCCCTTATGCTTTTTCATATATATTTATACAAAGCACACTGGAAAGACACATGCAAAACATGCTAGACTGTAGTTTTATGGAGATAAGGTAGAAACAAAGCGTTGAATTAAATAACTGTAGCAGTTTAATTTTGTTTAAAAAAAGTAAAATAATGAGCTCATTCGAAAATACACTTCCTGGGCTGGAAGTGTATTATGAAAGACTACCATGAAAGGTTTTACAAGCTAATATAAGGGATCTGTTACATAAACACATCTGTAAGCTAAACCAAACCAGATTCCATGAAACTGGTGCACTTTCTAAAGGGAAGTTGCTCAAAACCTTTTTTTTTTTTTTAAATACTGAAATATTATTAAACCATTTCCACCGCATATCACTAATAACTGGGATAGAAAAGTGTTGTTAGACTTTGCTAACTACCCTAGCTGTAAAGTTGGAGTTGTCTTTGAAATATTTACAGTAGTCCAACTAATTTCTTGGAGGACTTCTGCACTGACAGTATCTCACTTCACACTCACTTTTCATACTTGAGCTTGTCTTCCAGTAACTTACTTTATTGCAAGACTTCAAGATATGGTCACTTATCTATAAAAATCACTTGCAAAACAAGCAAGTGAAAGAGAAAAAAAACATTTCTCCATATGCAGGACGAGAATTCGGGAGTCAAACTCCTTAATCCTTTTATTTTTTCCGTTTAATGATTATTTCCAAGTACTTTCCCAATACCCACCTCCTTTTTCACCTCAGCTTCTGACATGGCCCTGTTTATTACTTTACACAATGGGAACAGAAAATGCTTCAAATCAGGAGCATCTGAAACCCTACTAGCAACTCTGTGAGCCTCAAAGGAAAGACAGAGGAAACTCAAAGAACTCCACTAAACCATCCTACAAGGATATTCCCAGCAGCTCTGCCACTTTCCACAAGTCTTACCTTTCTGAACATTAGCCCTGCCTTTGCAATGGCCTGTCCTGGATATCTTATGTTCAAATCTCTAACTGCATCAAATCTCATGCTCAGCCTATAAATCCCTTCATGGAAGAAACAACTCAACTAATTTCCTTTCTTCAGAAAATCCAGCAAGCCAGACTGTTTGCTCAGTAGCACCCTATATAAGAGGCAAGTGATCAATTCAACAGAGGCCACAGAAGTTTTATTTTCTCCCACTGGTTTGGGGTTCATTGTTTTCCAGGACCTTGCAAGGACTGGACTAGCAATTCCAGCAGACCGGCAACCAGATGTTGGCAATCAGCAACACATCAACCCTGAGTGTGCTGCCCTATCCGGGCCGCAACTAGAAAGTTGCCCATGGATCAGTGGGGGCACTGCCCCAAATTTCCCATGGAATGCCCTTTGCAGACTCACTCCAAACAGGCCCCAGGTTCAGATCACAAGAAGAAGGTTTGTAAACAAGAGCAGCTTTTTGCACTGCAAAATACCCAGTGAATTGAGCTAATAAAGGTGAAGAAATGTCTTCTGCTAAAAGGCCGTGCTGTCTGAGGCAAAAATATGTTTTCACCCTCTTTCAGAGCATCAGAGGAACAGAGTGAGCTTAGATGGTTATCTTTCCAACCTGTCAACACTTTACCTATGACATGCCAAGGCATGTCACATCCACTTGATATGAAGCTCTGTGAGCTTAGGATAAACTTAAGGGTTATCTGGCAAGATACTCACAGACCCTGAGCTACAAGCAAGGCACAACGTTTAAGAAAAAATATTGGGAAGCAGATTGATAAATTCTGAGTGTACATAAATGGGAATGGAAAGCTTGGGAATCATACAGACTGCCCAATGCTTCAACATATGTTCTAAATAAACGAAGCACTTTTGATATCACAACTGCAGGTGGAAGAGAAATCCTGCACTAGATAAAATTTATTCACAAATGATGCTCATATACACAGTACACGTTAAACACTGTCACTTGCTGCTTAATCCCACTTCAATATCCATATCTTGCTTTCATCTCTGCTTTGAAGTGACTCAGGTCTACAGAGTAAAGCATTACATGCAAAAGCTTCTTTATTTAATCAGTTTTAAAAACATATCAAACAAATGCCTATTAAACCCACCTTAAAGAAACCCTTTGAGGTTAGAAAATGGAGCTGAAAGCTTGCTTAAATGTTGCAACATACACAGCCTTGCTTGAAAATGTGGAAAGGACCACAATTTCTATTCACTGTTGAAACCATAGTCTGTTGTTTTTTTAAAAGGAATTAATTCACGGTTTTCTTATCAACTAAGTAAACAGGCTAACAGGCATCATATGAGTGCTAGCTGCTGTATCGACTTTCTTCTGTTACATGAAAACAAAAAAATTAGTAAACTAAAATTAGTAAAAAAAAAAAAATTAACAAACATGTGGTTTGAACTTGGCAAAGGACATTTTATTTTTTTTAATAGTAAACTTGACTCTACTTGTCCCTTCATATCAAAAAGTCAGTTATTTTACACAAAAGCATTTCAAGTTAAAATGTGCAATTTATATGTTCAACACAAATAAAAACTACTCCAGTTATGCAGAATTTTTGTTTGTATGCCATTAGTCTACTGAAGAGAAAAAGAAATACAGTCTCACATTTTAATCAGTTTAAGGCATGATTTCATTTATCTCTTCACTTTTTCTTTCAATTAATTAGTTTGCCAGTCTAAACATGTCTACTATTTTTAATCCTGATTAGTTTCTTTTTATGCATATCAGTTCAGATTAGATGTCCATTTTTTTGCCAAATCTCCCAGACATTCTGGAGGTCGCACAGTTAAAAAACTTCATCAGTATTGTTTATTGTCTGGATTTCTTATGCATTTTACAGGTGCAGAAGCACTTTTTTTTTTTTTTTTAACCTATTCGGTAAATCTGAAGTGCTCATCAGATTTGTTCCTACTCAAAGTAGATGACTTCAGGTATTTAATATAAAGAGCTTCTATCTAATTGAGAAAACAGGTAAGAACTTAACACATGAACAATTCTCTTAATCACAATTTCAAAGTATCTGAGGTTTTATTAAAAAAAAAAAAAAAAAAAAAAAAAAACACACAGAGCTGTCCAAAGTGAGTATTCCTTAAAGTACTGCAAACACAACTGATTTTCCTTGTCCAAAGGTGACTGACTCCTAAATTAGTACAGAGCTACTGTCTGCAATTTTACAGCCATTTTTTAAAAATCTTTTGCAAAGAAGGGAAGTGGACTATATTTCAATAGCCTTTCTTTCTGATATCACAGACAGGAAACAAATTTATGATTTCCTCAAATGGACAGTTGAGGGCAAAGTCTAGATGTGAGTGGCACATGAGAATGGATTTTTTTCTCCCCCCTCCCTCCTCTTAGTCTTTGTAATTTGTATACAAGATCAGCAAAATCAGAAGCAAAAAGCTCAAACAGTAAAGAGAAACATCTGGCAATCAAGCAAAGATTGAAATTCCCTTGATTAAGATGCAAATCAGTTTGAAGTACTGACATTTAACTTCATGGGTGAAAACAACTGGGACTTAATCATGCCTAAGTAGAAAAGTATGCCTTGGCACAGCATATAAGGTTAAATATCCTACGGAAAGACCAGAAATAATAAGGTTCAAAAGATCGCTTGCTTATAAACTCAACTTTGATGCCCCTGAAAAAACTACCCAAAGCAATTAGTCTGGCATCAAAACTGAAATGGAGGTCAGGCTAAAAGCTACTAGAAGCACATCTGTATAATTTTCATTCCTACTTCACATTAAGGCAAAAGGTCTTGGACACATACTCTGATTTATAAGTTATTTAAAGTAAGTAACAAAAAAGTAGTCTCAAAATATAACCCACTTTTACTAAAAACAAGTTAATATAACATAGTATGCCTGCTTTTTAATAACTCACTGAGTAACCTGGAAATTATGACAAATACTGCATTAATAAGATAAGGCCTTTACATTTTGTTCTGCTAGACAGAGGAAAAAAGAATAAAGAAGGCTGAACCAAAATTTATCATCAAATGCAAAATTATTTTTTCCCTCATAAAACTCTTGAAAACAGAAGGTCAATTTTTATTTATATGTATTTGTATGTACAGCATCAAAACTAGGAATAATGAAATGTGTGACAGGGTAAACTGTTAGAAAATATCAAAAAGGATAAGTTGTTATAGTCACAAGCCTAAGTTGTATCATTGCACAGTTTAACTTAAAGTCACTTCCAATTTCCTATAAAGTATCTGCTACTGGTCTCTGTTAGAAATAGGGATATCAAGTCCAGGTCTGCAAGTCACTACATGAGGGTGTATGACAAAGATACCTATAAAGGATGCAAAGGTCTCAAAGGCCCTGACTTATTTATTTAGGATATGTTATATCTCACATGCTCCAATAGTAAAAAAGAAAGTGTAAAACACCGTCCTCCTTGAAGATAATAAGACACATTTTCCCCCCCCAAAATATATTTTCCCCCCAATAATCATCAACATTTTTAATATAACAAAGCTTACAGACATGTAAATGCATATAATATACATAAAATATATATTTTAGTATTAGAACTGAAGGGAAGTAAACAACTTCGTTTGAAAAATCATTTTACTCACAGTGTTTTGATATGCAGATAAAATATTGGAAAAAAAATCTTGCCTTCAAGAGTAAATTATACATGAAAGGAAACAAGAGAGGAAGGGTTGGGGTCTAAGTTGTTTCTTTTACCCATACTCACCAGGAGATTCTCCTGCCAAATCTAGGGCCTGGGATGAATCTAACGAAGAAACCACACTGACAGCATTTGCAGGAATACTCATAGCAGCTGTAGAAGAGGATACGGTTGATTTCTTCGGCTGTACAACCACACTCCTATGTGAAAACATAAAGTTAGTAAATACTATGAAGTATAAAAATAACGATTCATATTTACAAATCTAGTGCATGCACTTCTATGTCCTGCAAAAGAATCAACAATAAATGTACTGTTCCCTGTTGTCTTATGCCATCACCTTTGGCAATCTATCTTAACCTAGAAGACATTTTCTCCTTCCCTCTTTCTTCTCATTCATGGCAAAATATTTAAATATTTCACTTCTATAAAATCATGAACAAAAAATATGTTTAAATAGTTTTTAAACCTTGGTTTCCATGAGATTTACTTTTACATGTCAGACAACTACTTACCAACCATTTATCAACAACTTGCCAAAGTATTTACGATAGTATTTAAAATGAAAACAACAAAGGAAATTTTTAACATTGAGGATTGCCTAGACATCATATTACTTTAGTAGAGTGAAGACTTAATTGAAGTGTATATGATAGTCTAAACACATCAAATGGTATCAGTGTGCACATATTAACATTTACAGAACTTCATAACTACTGCATGAGTTATAGTACATCTGATCAGTCAAGTTTTACAAGTACATAATAAATCAAAATCTTAGGAGTGAAGACAGAATCTCCATTCTTTATACAAGTTAAACTTCAGGCATTATACTCAGTATTATAAATTACATAAAGGAAAAAGATGTAGAGTGTCAAGTTAGGCATGGAGATTTATCTCCTGTGTTACTAAGTCATCTATTTATGCTATATCAATTTCAATTAAAATGTAGTACTTTATTTCAAATACCTAAAAGGCCTTGTTAAGCATACATTAAAGGCATTTTTAATTGCAAGTTAGCTCCATAAACATGCAAAAACCCAGCTAATGAGGTAAAGAGTACAGCTGATATATAATGCACTCCCACAGCAGCGCTTACTTTTAATTACCTGGCTTTAACCATAAGCTGAAAGTCTTCAACATTCAATTTATTTAATCACATCTTTTGTTACAGCACTATAACTACACATTGAAAGTATTCCCTTAATAGCTTTAAATTATTCATTTTTTTAAAAAGGTAACTTAGAAACTTGACCCATATTCAGGTGTAACTGTAGTAGTCAAACACGTTCTATCAAATATTTCTAAAATAATTTTCGCTAAAATGAAAAAAGTCTGCATTGACTCTCTTCTTCATTTCCAAGCGTGTCACAGGAGCTAGACCATGTTACTGATTAAATCAACCTTCTTAACAGCAGAAGTAGGCAGCTACCATACTTGGAGGCAGTACATGTCATATCATTATAAGGGTGACTGCTAATGTTAACTATATACTAAAAAAATAGAAGCAACAACACCTGAGCCCCAAGTTAAGATATCATGCCTAATCCATGAATTTTGCTCATGTGTTCATGTCGTGTTCCCTGAAACAGGAACAGCAGACTAAAAAATATTAGTATATTTACACTATATTCTAAATTCTTTCCAACTTATGTACAATTTTTCACTACCCTGGTATAAAAGACAGATATTTTACACACAACCACATACTCACTGTCTGGAAAGTGACTGCGATTCTGGTAGAATACCAAGAAGGTATTCGAGTGCAGGAAATGAATGCAAATTTGCTAAGTACTAGGTATAGATTCACACAGTACTCAGTTTATACCAAACAAACATTTGGACATTTTCCCCAAGTTCAGGGTCCAGTACTGAGGTCTGGGTATGTTCCCTCATGGGATTCCCTCACAGTTCTTGCACTATCAAGCCATCCAGCTCAAGAGTACAGATGAGGATTATTAATTCAAATTGTGCAAACAGATTACAAATGTGCCTCTACTCATGCAGAGACTAGAGAACCTCAATGCATGAGCTAGAAACACTTCTTTGCTCACACACTCAGTTATAGAAAAAAATATCCATTTGGTAATAACACACCCACAACTACACTGCATCAAAGGTGATGCAGGAGAATACTTAGGCACAAATTTGCGTGCCACACGGAAATGGAAATTGTGTGCATATGGTAGTCTCTGTTCAAAACAATAGCTAGCCTATGTTATTACATTAATTTAAAATTGAAAGACATTGGTTAACTTGAGGGCTTAAAAACAAACAAATTTCCAGTCTCTTTTACCTTTAGAAAATCCTGCGTCTCCAGGGTTTAAGGTCATTCAGAATTCTCTCAAATCATCAAATCTGAACTACTTGGTCACTTAAATATCTATGAATGCTATGAGTCTATTAAGAGCCCTAGGAACTATGAACCATCCAGGCAGGCCAGCACTACACTTCAAGAATATTATATACAAATGGCTGAAATAGCTGAAGGCTAAACTTCTGATTTTAGATAATTTAGACTTTCCTCTCCAGAATGAGAATATGGAAGCAAACATATAAACGTGACCAAGATGGAATTTTAGAAGAGGACAGAATTACTAGAGAAGCTTCTTACACAGCAAATAAGAATTCCATAATTGTACAGGAGCAAAGCTTCTGCAAAGATGAAACTGTTACCTTGACATTCCTCATCCGTAGCTGAGAATTGCTAGAGACCAAAAATTCCCAACATAAGGGTTTTCCATTCTCCAAGCTCTTTCCTGACACAATACTATATATTGTCATTCCTCCCTGTAAACTTATAGTGACCTTCAGTGTGCTTAAGTGTAGCTGCACTGAGGGAGTAGCTTCATCAAGTTGCCAGACCTTTTATAGCTATGCAAGGAGAGGTGCATTACAGGCAAAGAAATTAGAGATGATTTTTCCTGGGCTGCAGCAAATCCAAGTAAATAACCACAATGGTCCCTTTGGCCTTTTAAGAGCTTTTGTACGCTGGTAGAGTTTTGGTAATGCAAGTACAGCTGCTACTCTCATCTTCAATAACTCACTTTCCATCAAGGACCTAAAAAAGGGATTACAGTCTAACACTTCCATTATTATTTTCAGTATCCAAAACTAGCATTCCCTTAAGGAAGGTTATAGATTACAAGCACCAGGAATATAACACTAAGAGCTACAAAGGAGAGCTGCTATTGTGTTATTGTTAATTACACATCATTAGACATCATCATTCTTTTTATACTGGGAGTGTAAAAGGAGGTTGCACTTACACTGAACCACACAGCACAAAGATTCAGCACACTCATGAACACTCTTGGATTCAAGGAATGTCAACAAGTAATTGCCCATTCTCAGCTATGAAGTACAGAAGAACCTATGCTCCATTAGCAGATGTGCACGTGTATTCCATATATTCACCACTATGCTTTGAGCAAGAGATGCTCACTGTTACACTATTTTCTATATCCAAAATTCTACTTCTGAACAGATTTTTTTTTAAATAGTGATCTTCAATAGCCAGTTAAAATGATTCAGACTTTCTCAACATAAATCAAAAAAATTGTATTCTTGATGGGGGAAAAAAAGGTGTCTCTCCCTTACAGCAGCATCAGTCTGAGGCATATAGCCACAGGAAATGCCAAAATTGTCCTCAAGAATCCAAATATGCAATGTAAGGACACCTCAAACTCTGAAGGTATTTTCTCTCTCTCTCTCTCTCTCTCTCGCTGCTAAATTACTGCCATAATCTCCACCCTCAAAAATCTTTTATTTATAGCATAATGTTTACTAATTTGTAATCTTTGCTCTCAACAGTGCAACTGAGCAACATTACCAATAAAAGATTAATTTTTGGAATTTCCATTATTATTTCCACAGTAAAGCTTTGTGATTGCATACAGATTTGTATTTGCCATATACTAAAAAACAAATTAATAGCTTTGAAGCACCAAACATTGGTCATAATTCTTTAAACTCTGAAATTCATACGCTGTTCCTTCTTTGTGGAATAATACGATATTTTCTCCAAACAGTCAAACAGAAATGTAACTGTGTTGAAAAAATACAAATATTTCCTAGATTCCTTTTTCTGTCTCTACCAAAAGTTATTTAAATGCTAATGTAAATAAATGCTATTGGGAGACATATGTGGGACTTGGGGAAAAAAAACAAGATCATTTAAAATAGTAGTAAATACATTACGTGAAAAGATGGTTTATTTAGCATATTGCTTATTAAATTTATTAATTTATCAGTAGAGTCTTATTTTTGTCTCACAAAAAGTAATAGGCTTTCAGCTTTTCTCCTGTTATAGGGGACATTCTTTTTATAGAGTACACAGAGAAGACCAAGTCTCTTTTTGGTAGCCAAACTGGTAAGTGTTGCCTAAAAAGTTAAGTGTTGCTTAGATCATAAAATATTCATAAATAAGTGGCATTACAGTATCTTTCTTCAGACATCCAAAAATAACATATTTCAAAATATCTGTAATCACACATTAATTCCCTCCAGAATGATAACGAACATTAGGCAACTCCCCACTTTGTTAGAGCCACTTGGTCACAAGAAAGAAAACCATCAATAAAATCTATTCCTTCACATTCAAACTATCACACCATTCCAATTAACTGCCCACTTTTCAGCTATGAACTAGAAAAACAGTACCAAAAAACATGAAAGACTTACATCAAGTAACATGACAAAATAACAGAAGTTATTAGTTGCCTCAATAATGTGATTATCTTAGATGTTTTCCTTATCAAATTGGTTTATGAATGTTTCGTGTTTAAAGAGGGAATTTGAGCCTATGAACTGATAGGCACAGGTGAGAACTAGCCAGCATAAATAGATGGCAGCCAGAAGGTCAGTGTGTTATTAGTCCCAATTATGCTGAAGTGGAAGAAGCCTCTGCGTTGCAGACGATCATTCATTGCTGGATGAGCACAGATCACGAAGCTGAGCGCTGACTTCCCACGCAGACAAAGCCTTGCACAATAATGAGCTATTCTGCCAAAATCTGTAAGGATTTACTTAGTGAAAAGCTTTCATGTTTTCAGACAACTGATTTTTTTCACTGCCGCAAACAAAATATCTATAAATACTTATCAAAATTTGAGCACATTTTTCCAAAGTATTTATTTTTTGGAAGTTGGCAAGAGTGTCACTATTTTAAAAAGTATTTTAAGTTACAAATTTTCCTTGGGCTTGAGTCAAATACTCCTTATACAACATGGGCCAGGCCAAACTGATGATCTCACTATAATTTAAAAATATGTACACAAACAGTAATTCCTCTTGACATACAAGAATTTATAAGGATTTGACTCTTACCCTTCCATTTTTAGCACTGAACTGCAAGACAGGTTGACAGTTTGCCTGTTTCTCTAGGGGATAAGGGTTTTAACTCAAAAATCAACAGAAGTTAGTCTTGCTCCAGGTTCCCCAAATGATGACTGCTGCAGGGCTCCTATGCATTGAGCAAAAGGCCAATAAAGAGGATCAGAGACTTACTTTTACCTCTGCTTTGAGGGGCAGAAAAGAAGCCTGCCATGTCAGTGTCATTCTCTGAGCTCTGCTGTCTACAGATAATATCCGTTCTCCTACCCTCCTCTTGAAATTCCCAAGGAGAAAGGAAGAATAAGAGACCCTCTCAAAAATCAGAGATCAGAGAGTAAGAAGGAAAAAACAAACAAAAACAAGAACCACAGAGATGATGGAATGAATACAAGGCCTTCTCTAACATTCTGTAAGGGCTTAAAAATGAGCTTAACAGGAAGACGACTTGAAACTGCCTCATCATCTCCTTCAGAACATGAGTTTTCAGGGTACTGAGCTTCTCATCACAGCACATGCATCTGGTTCTTGACCTAAAGATTCCCCATTCTCCTATTTTGTCTCTACCTATACCTGGTAATCTGCACTTGTGAACAACAAGATCATTCTTTTCATACTCTAAGGCTGTATCAACAAAGTCTAAACTGCATTCGATCCATACACGAAATGATTCTGATGAAATTTAGCAGAAATACGACATTCAGCCATTAGAGGAGCACACATACCAGACTGGTAAACACATAAACATAGGCTGAGGCAAGCTAAGCTGCTTACAGACAAAAAATTCCAAGAAGATAAACAGGCTCCTTAACATATCTCTTCTGCAAGTTACAGGTTTAAGCTCCACAGCACAACACCACGATTTAAGAGCCTATATTCTGTGCACCCTCAGCATCAACTTCTTATAATGGCGTGAATGTTGGATGTTTCCACAAAGAGCAGTAGGAGCCAGAACTGATGAAGTTTTTATTTTAAATTACACAATAAACACAGCAAGTTATAGGTTATAGGTTTTATTAAACTACTTGAAGAGAAATTGCTGCCTTTTCTCCTGCCTGTTCCACCCTCTGCTTCATAAAAAAAAAAAAAAAAAAAAATTACTACCGAATAAGAGAACTGATGTTGTAGGACACTGAAGCTGGACCATTAATTCAGGTCCCCATGGATCCTGAGAAAAGGCCAATGCAAGCCTTGAACTTTATCATGATAAACCCCTGGCACCCACTAATCATGAGATTGCATCTTCACATAAGATAAGAGGAAGTTTTTTGGCATGAGAATGAACACATACACCTAGTTGTTTGCAAAGGCCTGCAACCTGGCAGCCTTTCAGCAAGTTTCACTCACATAGCTGTTACTGTATACTCTCCAGCTATAGCTGGGAAGTCGATAATCCCTAAGATATGAGGAGAGTTTTGATTTCTGACGCAGCATTCCTGAGATAAATGCAGGATCAGAGAGATGCTTTGAAATTCCCAGAGATTCCCCACTGTGAAGCTGCTACATGGGAACAACTTTTAACAGTGTCTTTAAATTTAAAAAAAAAAAAAAAAAAAGTTACATAGCCAACCCAGAGCTCATGTTTGCCATAAGATGATACATTAAATGCAAACCAGACATAGAAAGTTAGAGTACATCCTAAAATCTCTTCTTCCAGACTTCCCCAATGTATCCTTACTATTTTTGCACACGCCCAGAGATAAAAGCTACTATTTTCAACTCTAATAAATTCTTGTAAAGGCTTTTCTTTTGCTAGTACAACTCCTTCACCCATTTTTCTCCACATGTTATTCCAGAGCATTAACTTATATTTTAAGCAGAACTGCACCCAACCAAGTTACAATCACTTTCAAGTGTTTATGAAACTATTCTACCAAACAGTTCTATTTAAAGTAATATGTATACATTACTCCATCTGGTCTAACTGATTTATTAGCTGGTTGGCAAATACCTTATCATCCATCAACATATTTACCATAGAGGCAATATTGTTCATGTCATTACCAGATTATAATTGATCAAGGATAAGGCTTTTACTTATATACCCATTAAGGGCACTTTTGTCTCCCTGATACACCCACAAAAGTAAGGAAATGAAACATTAAGCCACCTAGAAACACACAGCTGCTGACATATCAGAGGTCACATATAACTGTTGATGGACTAAATATTTTAATACTAGTTTATGACCTTTTCTTCACATATTTAGCCCCACCTATAAAACATAGGAAAAGTCATAGGAAAGTAACAGCCTCAAGTCATCATTGTAGAACAGCTGAGGCAACTACAGAAACCCCTACAAAAACAGAGAAATGAAAAGTCAAGGCATCTATTTTTCCCATGCCCTCTGCTCCTCCATTCACAAGCAGCCTCCTGTCTAGGACTTTAATCCATGCTCTGCAATCACAGTTTTGAGTGCTCATTTTACATACCTATATATTCCTTCAACTCACTCTTTGCCTTTCTGCATCTGATACAGTTGTTATATCTCTAGGTTAAAGTAAGAGAATATTCTGAACTGTAGTTAAAAAAGAATGGCACTTCAGAGCTGAGAAAAGGAAGAAAAAACACACTGTGATAGTCTGGCAATGGAGGCAAAAGGGGTAAAACGGGAAGTAGTTCAACTTTTCAGTGACTTGTTTTATAATCTTATACTGCAATTGAAGTTTTTTCACATTTGCTCAACTATGCAGAACAGACAAACAGCATAGAACTGCAAGCAGCTGAAGAGCAAGCACAGGATTTTATTAGTGCACATTACCAAAATAAAATCACAGAGTTTCCTCTGATATGGTTTTGTGGCATAAGCTACCTACATCAGGTATGACAACAGCAAGAACCCCATCATCTCATCCAATCAACCTGCTTCACACCAGTTCAAATCAGTAAGATTTTCATGAACAGCACATACCTTCAGTTTTCATATCAGCAACACTTAAAAAAGTCATTCCTAAATCCATCATGTTCTTCTGTGCCTACTCTCCAAATGTCACATGTCATTCTGTGGTTAAAAATCTCTCCCACTCAATAATGAACAACAAGAATTTCCCGAGAAAAGAAACGAGAGCCACGGACTGGAACTGAACGCTATTGACCACTTAGAGCAGGGACAGGCCTTCGGAGGGAGTCCCTAAAAGCACCTGGGAGCAGCAGGGACAGAGGGGCACCACAAGATCCAGGAAAATTCAGTCTCTCCCTGCCTCCATCCTCCTACTGCCTCAGAGTATTTTCTCTTGCTTAGCATCCAGGAACAGAACATAGTACTTAGTTTGAGACAAGCATAAGGAGCACCTTTCAGAGCACACCATACACCATCCCATGATTTGCAGAGAATACCACAATACCTTCCTGATGAACTTGAATGATGTGAAGGATTGTGTCTGTAAATCAATTTATCTTGATTAAATACTAGCCCAAATATTTCGAGAGTTACATTACCTGTCAAAGGAATGGAACTGCACAGGCTGCTCCGCAGCTGCATCACCCAGAGCTCCAAGGAAGGCTGCTGGCAGAAGAGCAGGATCCACAGCAGCCCCATCAGCTGGTGTGCTCACCAGGCTTCGCAGAATGTCCTTCACATTGACATTTTTTGCAGTTGGCACAGAAGCTGCAGCCTTACTGTCGTTAGTTCCTACCTCACTCCTGCCCTCCTGAGATTTATTTACTTCCAAAGACAGTGTGCTTAGTACCTCACTGATAGCATCTGGACCTGGAATGACTTTCAGAGGTTCTTCACTATCTGAGCTGTTTACTTGACCTGAAGCTGGTTCCTCTCCAAGACCAGAGTCCCTTCTTCGTACAGATGCTGTACTTTCAAAATCTTCAGTGAAGGCTGAAGGTGAAGCACCAAGAGCAGTAGACGGGTTTTCTACAACTTTTCATCACAAACACAGAAAACACATTTTAAATCATTATTAACAGGACCATATCCATCACATTGCTTTAAAAGAGTAACACTGACAGGTGATGAGTGAAATAACAGCTCTACATATTTCCCTTCTTACCTATTTAGAGAGTACTTAATAGTAAGCTTAAGACTTTAATTTCTAGGAAGTCTGAAAAAGCTTCTAATATTCTAAGTGTTAAAAACAAGGAAATGGAAGGTATTGACACAACATGCAAAGAATAAAAACCAAATGATGGCCTGAAGGAAGAGTAGAAAACAAAAAAAAAATAGTTGAACAGTGAAAACAAACATTAAACCCTAAGCAAGGCGGCAGTCCTTCTGAAATAAGCATCCATGAATAAGCATCTCAGTTACTTCACTGAGACCAACCATTCTCTACATTGCTAAAATTTGTGGGTTCTTCTCAAATCAGATAAACGGAAATTGCACACAAGTCCTAAGGCAAATAAGATTACATACTATAATGTTGCTTAAATGGTTAGAATGAGTATATTTTTATACAGTCTCAAATGGATTTCTGCTCTTAAGATACTTAAGTCACGCTAAAAATACTGTACGGCCAAATAACTAACAATTCACCTGTAGCAGAAGCAGGAGTTTCATTACTTCCATTCTCTGATGCCTTGAATGACTGGCTATGACTTGGTGGTCTCCTTTCATTCTGAGGTTCCAGTATATCTCTGTATTTTGAGACCATCAGCACAGAAATAAAATACACTACAGCCAAAGCCAAAAACTGAGCCTGTTTACTATCCTCCTGTAAGGAAAAAAAAAAAAAAAAAAAGGACACACGCACGCACACAAATTTTCTATTGCAATTTCAGCAGCATGCTTATTTTTCTATAAAGTATGCCCAATGCTACCATAAACAGACTGAGAGTAAGCTGATTATGTTAGCAAAGGAAGAACATTATTCTCTAGTCACAATTTTCCTCATGTATAAAGCAAGGGAATATAACAATTCTATTCAAATGTCACTAATCATTTTCCTCATATAAATATGCCAGGTTTGATGAAAGTTATCTATTCTGTCTAAGTGTTTCAAATTAATGCAGGGAACAGGTCCCCTTTATTTATTAACAGGTGTTTCCTCTGCTGCACTTTTCCTCAAATTTACCAAGATACTACCAGCATTTGCTGTGAAGTACTACCATGCAAGCATACTGGACAAAACTGAAAAAGCATTTCTAAATTATTATGTTTTAATTGAATGAAGTGGAACAAACTCCAGGACCTGAGTTAAAGTTTCATTTCACCTTCAGATTGTACAAGATGGATGGACTCTCTTATGCAGAAGTTAAGCAAAAAAAAAAAAGCATCCATTTGTATTTTTGTGTAATTTTATTGAGTACACTTTGGGATCACAGGAGAACTGAATATTTGGGGCCTCACTGATCAATCAGTTTAAGAAAGTTCTCCTCTTCCTCCATCCCAACTTTTAATAGCCACTCTGGGAGATGATGAAACTTAATTGATATAAAAATAAATATATAAAAAATATAGCTAGGTCTCATCTGTTATGCTCAATAAACAACCTCTCAGCCCCACCAAAATAATTAATCTTTATAAAATGGGACAGAAAAGTAACCCAATAACAGCCTGGCATCAGGCAAGCACAGTGCGAGGCTGACAAAAGTCCCCTACAATAGTAAGGATTAAAAAGAATTTTTTTCATAACTAAATTTTTGCAAGATAAGTTTTCAAATGTACTTAATGAAGTCGCGCTCAGTGAAATCATGCTGTCTTTTTTCTTATCACTTTTTCTGTAATGTTTGTAGAACTCCCAAGTTCTACAAGTTTGTATAGTAGTGGAAATACTACTAATGGCAGTTAAATGTTTAGGGCAATAAACTGGAATTCCATTCGAGTTCCTCTTATGCAGGTGATTAGCATGATTTCAGTGTAATTTCAAAAAGTGCATACAAATCAAACATAGAACATTTAGAGGCAGGTATAAATAGCTCAGATAAAATATATTCCAGAACAGATCTTTTAAAGTCTACTTTTTCCCCTACAGCTCAACACAGAAGCAGGAAAGCAGAGTTGTTGCATTGCTTTATATTTTTGTGAAATAGAAAACCTGATGAATTAGATAAGCCAAAAAAGCAGAGGTATGTGCCTGATAGCATTCTTAAAAGAAAAATAATGAGTACATTAAATGTTATTAAATTTGAAGATTGAGCCATTAGGATTATTTTTCTTTTATTGTCACTAGTATGAAATATGTGGTTCTTATTCTTCTGCACACTGATGCCATAGTACAGATTAGAAGAAACTTGTTTCTATCAATAATTACTATAAAGATTAAAAATAAATAAATCCTTCACTACTCTAGTTAGAGGAAAAAGCACTGAGTAAATCATTATACTTGCTAAATAGCCCAGTTACTGAAAATTACTTCTAGTATCCAAAGGCACTAGTGGCTCATGGCCACTTACATGCTTACAATGTTTTTTTGAAGCAATCAATTTCAATTTCCTCAATATCATCCATAAAGTTGCTGACATTGGGCAAAGTTATTTTTAGACAACTCAAGATTAAAAAAAAAAAAAAAACACAAAACTCTAGGCGTATATATTACACGCACAAATTAGTTCCTCTGAGGGGAAATAAATGAAACACTGTTCACCTCTAATTTGTAATTAGCCATAAAGTTAGTCATTTTTCACAAACATCTTTATAAATATTCAGTCATTTTTCTGCTTGTAGCATGCAAAAAGTATGTATTTGCACTAAACACAACATCCTTAATATACAAAAGTCTTGAAAGCTCTGGACAGAATTCTAGTCAGCTCTTTGGTGGAACACACCGAAGATCCTGACTGGCAGGCAGTGATTTTTAACTCACCTTTCATCCAATTCTCAACACTACAAGAGCTGTAGAGTATTACGCAGACTTTGTTACTGTAAGCATTATACACTTTTTGTAAAGTCAGTTCAAGCAAGCTATGTAACACATAGTGAATGTTCAGCAAACATATACAGAAACCTATCAACAGCAATAAAAAAAAAAATGTAACTCACTATGTCTCTGAACACTACTGCTCGAAGTCGATTAATATCCATATCCTGCAGAAGTCTGTCATGGTCTCGTATTGGAGAAATTCCACCAGTGACAATGTCCACTGGACTCTATTCAAGAAAAGTGCTTCAGATTCAGTTCTTAAAGCATTCTGCCAAGAATCACTACACATATACTGTTGCATTTAATAGTTTATTAGCTCTTGTTTTAAGTAGGTAGAATCTGGGGAAAAATCTACTTGATGTGTCCAGAGCACAAAGATCAGATATGTATTTCAGATTTAAGGAAAACAAAGAGACAAAGAAAATCACCCAAACAATTTGGTAAATTCTTGTGATAAGAGTTATTTCACTGTATGAGGTTAAATATGTAAATGTTAAATTAATAGCTTGAAAAAAATAACTTCACGATTTCCAGTGTTCATGCTGTTCAGCTCCATAAAAAATAGCAGTGGTGCCAGTAACAAATTTAAACACTTATCCTTCTGTCCACAATAATAATTAATTTTCATGTGTTCGAGCACGGCCACAGACTTGCCTTTGCTGTAGACCTTCCTCCTTCTGTAAGACCCTGCATTGCTTTTTGGTTCTTCACAGAGTCTCCATTAGGTTTCATCTGCGCATGCTGCTGGCACTCTAAGCAATTTCTTACTGCTACTGCACATACTTGAAGGGAAAAGAAGTGTCAATAACTTCACTGGAATTAGTCTATCTATATTCCTTACAGAGATATATAAACATATATGTATAGTATGCTTGTATTTCCCACTCAAACTTCAAAGTAGTCAGCAAAAGAATAGTTTGTTTCAATAAATTGTAAATAGTTGCACAACAATGCCCTAAGTACTTTCAGTAATAACTAAAAATTAATACTAAGCTATTAGAACACATATATAATAACTACTGCAAAACAAATAGGTTGGCATTACTACATCCTTTCTTCATCTCTCGTTAAAATGTTACCATGCACACCGTCTTGGGAGTGAGAAGAGTGAACACACACAGATGTGTCTCTTATCACAGTCTAACAAAGAAAAACGCAAGCTACACTAGGGAATAAAATGATAAAATTTGCTTTACAATGACTTATAACTCTTAGACTAAACAGGTTCTTATGTTTCATAATTTTTTTTAAGCTTCACAATAGCACCTGTTGTCTTCTAATATTATTTTCAAAGGAAAAAAGAACTACCCCACCTCTATACCTGTTTGCATCCCATATATCTTGTTCTACCTGCAAAGTTTTAATTGCCTAGAAAGGGAGAGGAAGGCTAGTTACTCTTTAGGCTCTGAGCTGCTCTAGCACTCATGCAATTTACTTTTTTTTTTTGAACAACAATAACAAAATTTTATAGCATGCGATTGGCATGAACACTGCCCTCCTGTATTAATTAACCAGACCTAGATTATGATATCATTTTTAAAAGTCATTAGTGTTCTTTACATATTGATCACTTCCAATCCAGTTCCGCATGAATACACAAATACAGCTCCAACTACTAACTCATCTGAACAGACTCTTCAGAAATTTATGTTTCTATTTACCACCGTATTTTCATCTACTGACCTTATTTCATATGCATTACAAAAGTTCATATTTTTATATACACTTCAAGGTTTCTTTTTTCCAACACTGCTGTGTTTTCAGTCTTGATTATTTTGGGATCTTTGGCAAAATATCAATCTTCTGGATAAAATCAATACATGCATCTAACACTGATGCTATGAAAACTTATTTTAATCAGTTATTTAAACTATTTAAATAGAAAAATCATGTATATATTGTACAGTAGAGTGACAGCAGTGCAGTAAAAGATTTCAATGCACTTTCCACTAGCTTTAATATTAATAAAAAAGAAAAAAAAAATCTAACAATAGTAACCACTTCATAGCGGCAAACTATATGTTCATGAAGTGGATTTATTGGCTTACCCAGACGGAGACATTGCCGCAGAATTCCTCCAGATGACATATTTTTCTCAGACTCAATATCAGAGAAAACAAGAGAGCTTGCAAAAACTAACACATCCACAAGGTTTATCAATCTCTGGAGAAATGTTAAAGATGCTTCAACTGAAAGTCCCTGAGTTGGATCGATATTCTCCAATTCATGCTACAAAGTGGAAAAAAAATGAAAGCAACATTTACAAAGATAATTCTCATACAGCTTAAATGAAGAAAAATCTATGTTGGAAGTCCATTTTAGTCAGATTCAAAAGTACTAAAAGACTAATCAGTTGTATTCCAAAGGGGAGGAAAAAAAAATCAGTATTGAGATTTTGACATTTAAACCTATTACAAACCATCATGGGACAAAGACACTCTCTTCAATGACTTGTTTTTACATCTTCAGGCAAAAAGTGCAGGCAAACAATTTATCTTAAAGGAGCTGGGGTAGCAAAGGGTGCAGAAGGAGGAAGGAGGATTTTCTGGAAACATATTTCTGTCTCCCAAAACAACAGACATAATGGGTTAATATACTGTATAAAGACAGGTATCCTCCCACAGGAGATAATTTGCAAATAAAAATGGTATTTCTTACTGTAGCAGATGTAGCAGCAGAAAGCAATGGCAATATGCCACCACAAGCCATAATCATGTTGTCCATTACTTGAGAGATGAGGTGAATTGTGTTGTGTACAAATATGGCATTGTCATTGCTATTCACAAAGTCCATCACAGTTTTTGTAGAATGGCTGTCCAATAAAGCAGGTTTTGAAAAAAAAAAAAAAAAAAAAAAAAAAACCACAGAGTACAGCTTTATTTTTGTGATATTTTTGCATCTACGTATTCAAAAGACTCAAACCAGAGACTGAGTAGTGGTGCAGCAAGTATCATATGATCCCAAGGTTCAACTGCTGTGCCTTAATTTAAAACTAAAACTTATCCTTCCTTTTGTCCAAATCATAGGACATTACTTCCTCTCCAGATCATAGCCTGTGAACAACATCAAGATGTGTGCTAAACGATCATTTGGATAAAGATACATTAAAAGCTGCTCTATGATTACCTACTATAGCAAAAGTCACTTCAATCAATCAATACAATAATGTTTCCTAGGAGTATAAGGTAGATTTAGAAATCAAAGTATTTACTAACCACTTCTCAAAGAAACTAAAAGCACACCCAAAACATACGTGGTCAGGATTTCAGGCAAAAATGCACATGCAGGCCATTTACCATTCCCCACTCATATTTGTAAAAAGCATTTTCAAATTTAAACCATTTAAAAATTGTTTAAAAATATAAATCATAAATCTGAGATTTTTTGGATACAGGGCTCAAATAATTAAGGCTACTTTATAGTGGCAGATATGAAAACCCCAAAGTCAAAAAATGACTGTGATGTGATTTCAGCAAGTTCTCAGGTTAATTGTAACAAAATGCCAACCTTTATCCCTGCATAAAAAGCATATACATTTACCTTCTCCACATCTGTATATCTGTTTCTATGGAGAAGAGCAAGTCTGTGAGCAAGCGCTGATGCATCAGGGACCACTTAAACTCAGGAATACGGAACACAGTAGACCTGGAGTCTCTTCTTTGCCCATCTGATGTAGTTGCTAGCTCTTGACCTGAAGAATCTTCCTGCCTTGAGATCTGAAAACACAGTTTGAAGACAAAAAACCACAATGTCCGTGTAATTAGTTTCTGCAATACAGAAACGCATTTAACCGTCTTTAGAGTTTAGACAGTGCACAAGCATAGCTAGTACACACAGTTACACATAATACTAGTACACAAATGCTATGTACTGGAAAAACCAAACCTACAAACTAGTCTACGGCTGCACTAGCATGCCTGTCATCCTAGGCATATACAAGCAGCAACTCAACCTTACCACAGGGTGAGTATCTGTTGTTGTAGATAATGTTTTTCCTCCTTTGAGGAAGAATGGTGTAGAATGAAGAGCATCCATTAGCAGGTGTCTCTGCAGAAGGGAATTACTCAGATAGATGACTATTTAACCATGGGAAGTTGAGTTAGAAACTAAAGACTAAAGGGGTGGAGAACTGAAGTAGACAATAGAGGCCTTGACATGATTAACATGACAATCTCGTCATACGGTGGAGTTTCAAAACATTTTGGTACCTTCACAGTAGCTAGCATAAAAAAAGTTCACAGGTTCCATTCTGATACAGGAAAAAAAATTAGTGCCATATCTCTGCACAATAAATGCAAAATCCAGAGGTGAATTATCAGAGGTTAGACTGAAAAGAGTAAAACGGAGGTTGAATAAAGAAATAGAAGAAATTCCAGATAAAATATTCTCAGACTGTATAAAAAATGTTTCCTTCCATTATTAAAACAGAAGAATGGCAGTATCAATGCAGACTAAGGGATCACCTAGCCCAATATTCAGTGTCAAAGAATGTCTACGAAGAGATGTACAAAGAATAACAACTTAGATACTTCTCTGAAGACAAATTAGTAAGAATTATAGCAATTTAATCAAGAGTTAAATGTGTTCTTCAGGTAACTATTAAAATGATCCATAATAAAATGCCCAAAATGTCAACAGGCACATTTTCTTTTATAAAAAAAAAAAAAAAAAAAAAAAGTTAAGCACTCCCACTTGTTTTTAAGCTAGGCACACGAAGGACAAGCAGAAGTTACCTCAGTTAGGGGCCTGGGGGGCAAAGGTGCTTCTAGATTTCTGTTGGCTTTCAGTTCCAGTTTTTCTGTATCTGATGCAACACTAGAAACATCAAGTTTGGCAATTCTTTTCTCAGGGGTTCCAGCAAGCGCTGGTACATGGGCACTGGCATCCTCTTCAGCTGTTGTGGTTTCACTGTAAAGAATCTTTTCTTCTTCAGGCTTCTTTTCCCCTTCTGAAACCCTTTGAGTCCCTACTTCTTGCAGAACTGCAGAACTTGCTGTTTCTGATGAGGAAGCAATTTCTTGCTTTTTCCCATTCACATCATCAGCATCTTTGGACTTTAAAAGCACAGATTCAGGTTCCTCCTCTATTACTTTGTCCTGCTTTGATCCTTGGTTTTCACGAGAGTTATGTTCTTCGACAGTTTCTGCTACCTCTTGTAGTGGTAAAGGCATACTACTTTCCTCTTTCAAATCAACAAAGCCATCTTCCTCTTCCACATCTAGTGTTGATTTTTCCAGTCCTTCTGGATTTTCAAAAGTTTCTCCTTTCAATGTAGTTTGCTCTGTTAAAGCAGCAGCACTAACAGCTGTTTTTTCTTGCACAACTTCCTCTGCTTTGCTCAGGGAATCTTCAATTGCTTCAGCTATTCCAGTACTAATTTCTGAAATACTGGGCTTTATTGCTTCAGTCTCTGGAGAAAATTCTGAGCAAGGCACTGCTTGCAAATTGGAGGTGCTCTCCCCATCTTCCCCCTCCAATTCCTTCCTTTGATTAGACACTGAATGAGTGTGTGGGTCACCATCCGATGAAGGCTTGGTCGCATTTTTTTCAGTACTGCATCTCACATCATCTTCAATAATACATGACGGAGCAGCAGCAGCTTCTCTCAACTCCAAGTGAGGTAGTTTTCCTACAGTTTCAGCTTCCTTGCTAACTCTGGAGATTGTTCTAATGGGAACTGAAGGGCCTACTGCACTCCCTTCGCCTCCTTTCTCTTGGTATTCTCTGTACATTTGAGAAAGATTCTCTTTGTGCATTTCAAAAGTTACCTAAAAGAACAGAATTATTGGAAGTACATTAAAAAGCATATTTTAACATTTATTTCATAATGTTGATTCTGGAAAAAAAAAATATATATATATATATATCCTATCCAGGTTACAAGGTTATACTATAAATTTGCATGCTGTTCTCTCAATGCCAGAAAATAGAAGGTAAAAAATATTTCATATTGCAGATCACTAACTTAAAGCAAGCATTTTTTTAGTATGCATATTTTTTTCCTGCCGAAAGCATAATAGTAGAATAAAAAAGATCCCCAAAAAGATCCCCAACTGACTCCCAAAACAGGAATTCAGGGATTTAAAAGTATCCTGAGTTTGAGAAAGTATTTTTACTTAAGGAGGACTTCTTTGTTAAAACAGAGTGTGCTATTCATCCAGTGCATCTAAACAGAAAGATGTGAACTACACAACCTGAATAAAACAAGATGCCTTTCCAAAGGAAAAGCCAGAAGAAATATATTGTTTGAGGCATATAATAAAATTAGAAAAAGTGACTACATATGTAATGAAAGTTGAACAGATTTGCATTTTATGTGCTTCGAGGATGTCAAATCATATTATATTATTGGAAAAAAACCATCTTTTCTGATCCCTCATTAACAATTTGATGACTCTAACACTAAACTTCAGACATAGTCAAGTTTTCATTTATTCTTGATATATTTAAATTCTTACTGCCTTTTCAACCATGGGATTCACAGCAACCAAGCTGCATCCAAACTACACATCGCAACTTCTCATTTAAGTTGGAAGACACTTAAAATTTCAGTGCTGGAAGAAGAGTTCATTTAGACATAAAACTTTCTACTTTTGAAAACTGAAAGGTGCTATCTAAAAACACAGCCACTATCTCAGCAAAGTCCTTCATTACTTATGAAAAACAAAGGCTTGTTACTAATTGATGATTTGAAATCATCCCATTTTACCTTCATTATTTTGTCTCTTAGAGAGTCTCCTGCTGCGTATTTTACAGTTCCTAATAATACATGTGCTATCATAAAGCCAGGTAGGCACAATAGATACCTGGATTAATTTCAAATATTTAATTTATGAAGCACCCATCCATAAAAAGCTGGAGCAGTTTTTTTTCCAGTTAGGACTACAGAAACACACAACTACGAGTTCTACTGGGTGTACAAGTCAGAGATGCAACCAACTTTACAAAGTACTCTTCAATATGCTTCTTCTTGATAGGTAAAATACATGCACACACACAAATATACATATATATATATATTTACACACACAGTGTGGTATAAGGATGTGGTAGAATTTAGCAGTCAGCCTCAGCTGAAACAGGGAACACAATGATTCTCCTCCTGTAACTTCGGAAAGCAAACTGATGTACTTTTCAGGATTGTTGCAAAGGAAAGAAGGGAAATACAGGGAGTTGTTAATCTTCACAAATTGGCAATATAAGTTTACATGCAAATAAATCCAAGCATACTCTGTTGAGAATTTGTATGGATTTAAGAGAAATGCAAAAAAGTGCAACAAGAAACATATCATTTAAAAAAATAAAAGTTCTGGCTTGCACCCAGAACTACAAGAGTGTCTCTCAAAGCAAAACAAAAAATTAAAACAGAAAGCAACTGGTACTCCCACCATACACATTACAAATCGACATTTCATGTCATGTAACAATTAGTGTTTTACCTAGCGTGCTCTAGATAACATGTCAAATATCAACACTCAAACGTGGGCAGGCTATCTACAACACAGGATTTTTTCAAACTTGCAGTTCAGGTTTGGGGTTTTCTTATTTAAAAAATGTAAATAATTTAAAGAAATACTGCTTTTCAAAAATCAACTTTTCAACAGGTCTGTCTGAAGATTTTTTGCTCGCTATATTAACCTTCAAATTGGATGGACAAGGAAGCAAAAAACAGTGTTACTATCACGGGACTTGACAATTCTTCCCTCCCACACTGATTCCATGGCATGGCAATTACGAAGCACACACATTCACAAAGTCAAACACACCATACCATGAACACATTTCAGAATAAAAAAGTACTATCAGGAAAAATGCAAAATGAAATAGAAATTATTCTGTATAAATGCAGGTAGACAGAGATAACATACAAGGGTATTTAGGATTAAATATTAGGAAGTACAAGCTTGGAACAATTTAAAAGACAACTATCAGCTTGGAGAGCCTCAGATGCACCTAAGTCATTTTTTATTTTCCTTTAGGCATTTGCAACTGTAAAACTGATAATACAAAATTAATTACTAGAAATTGTTCTAAATTAGTGAGCTAAAAGGCCAATCATTAATCTTCACCATCATTTGATAGTTAATCCATAGCTGTTTGCAATGTTTGGAATGCATCTCTATGCACTACTAGTTAAAGACACTTGTGAGCTAATAACTACAACATTTGCCTCTGCCATTAATTTTAACTTAATTTGACATCCAACATTTACTAATTGCCAAGGAGAAAAATTAGCATGTAGCAAGGAAAAAGGTTAAGATGATTGACATTTGTATTAAAGAACACAGTGAAAATACTTCAGCAATGTGTTGAGATTTTGCCTTTTCTTCTTACCAGGTGGTCAATTTGTGGAGTAGAGGGAAGACAGGAACGCTTGCCCAACAGGTCAAACAGTTACATGGTCCTGCTGTTTCCGTATAGCTTCTGCTCCTGCAAGCTAGTCCCCATGCAGCAGATTCCAACAAACTCCTCATAGTTCCAGAAATATACTCGATTCCTACCCCAATCCACTTTCCCAACAATATTATCACAGTTCAGGAGACAGACAAATTCTCCATGAAATACTTCAAAATACTTCCGTCTTGTGCACATTTGATAATTAATTCTCAAAAATATGTTGCAGGCAAATTCAGTGTTTACCACACTGCACAACCCAATACCCAGCCACTGGCATTGTGCACTTGCGGGAAGCCCTGC